TTTTATATTGATTACTATCAAAGTAATAACGAAACAGATCTCAGATGTAACTTTTCAAAAACTGAAGTATTGAAAGCCATTAATCTTATTTGAAACAAAAGAGGAATCGTAAAAGATCGTTTTCAATTATTGCTTTTAATCCTATTACATTCAACCGGAAAATGTGGATCACTAGTGCCTTATATATATATATATATATATATCATATCACAAAGTTACATTAAAATCGTTGTGATTCATGCTACACTTATAGTATAGGGGTTAGCTAACAATTTTCAGTATGCAGTCTAGTACTCAGATAACTCAAATGAAATATATATTTTTAAACCCTATACATTTTAACTGAAATATAACCTTGTGTCATCTGAACTTGTCTGTTTGAATTCAATACCACCATCGAAAAAATATCCATAAATATTAATTATTTTAGTAAATAAAAAAAATATTTTTTAGAAATCTATACATATTATAAAATTGTTCAAATTGTTTTCAATATATTACATTCAGCCTTAACGGAGTGACTTCTTGTTTTTAAAATAATTTTTATAACCAGAGAATATTTTTTTTTTTTTATAACACAATCGTATTTGTTAAATTATATAGTATCGTAATTAAAAAAAAAAAAAAACTTATAGTATACACATTGATTGTCGATTGATGGTAACTAACGATATACAAATATATCATCTCTGTATGTAAATAATAATTAGCGTAGCAACATAATATATTTTTTAAGACTTAGTTCACTTAATGACCTATTTAAAATAATWGTTTATAACACGGACCATGTTGTTCGTCAAACTATAGGTACAATTGTAAAATAAGCTTATTAAGGTGTACTAGAGAGAAATGACGTTGCGGTTAGGCACGTGAGCTTTCGTCTACGCCAGTGGTTCTCAACCACTGTGCCGAGAGATCGACTAGGTGTGCCGCGAGAAGTTTCTGACATTTGTAATTATGCTGGTAAAAATATTGAAAACTGTAATTTATTTCATTACATTTGTGTTGAGTGTGCCGCAAAAACTTGTGATGTGTAATAAAGTGCAATGAACCAAAAAGGCTTGAGAACCACTGGTCTACGCTCTCTCGAGATCGCTACAAAGCGTATTTCTAAGGTTTTAATGTCCTCTGWCAAAACGAAATTTACTTACTCTGCTGGACGTGTTCCGAATATCGGTAAACGTAAGTGAGGGGAAAAAAACAGAAAAATCGAGAGAAACAAATGTTGCACTTTATACTGCGGTAGAAAATACGTCATTTTACGATCTCAATGTTAAATGTTTTACTTKTGGTTATTTCAAATTGTATGCATACCGCATAATAACCAATAAATGACGTCTTAAAGTAATATTTAAATTGGTATTTCTACAATACAGCATAATAAATAAAAATAGAAAATTATTAAGTTTTGTATAAATAAATTAAGAACTATACGTAGGAATACAATGTTTAAAAAATTTWAATTTTAATGGTAAATTCACGTTCGCACTATTAAGACGTAAACGTAGGATAATACAAAATTATATTACATAACATCTTGCAATATCAAAAAATGTAACAGATAACTCTGATGTTAATAATATGGCATTATTTATTATTATTAAAAATACGTTCAACTATTAAATTATAATGATAATTTATTCTAAAAATAATTAATATCTAATAAATACCAGCTAGTATGTGTTTAAACATATTATTGTCAATAACTTCGAATTCTGAAATATAACGATACGCAAAATCCTAAAATATAGATGATAATGTAATCAATCTGTCTTAACTAAAAATATTTTGCGTTAATTTATCTCATGTTAAAAAAAAAATAATTATTTGATGCTAGTTAACACTTTTTACATCAAACATAATACTTCTAAAAGTGTAATTATTAGCCAATATTAACTAACAAAAAGGAAATGTCTTTTATAGGTTCCTCAGCTATAGCTATGTGGCTGCATTCAACCTGTGGCTGATGTTATGTCCGTCGGCATTGAGCCATGACTGGCAAATGAATTCACTACCATTGGTCACGTCTTTGTACGATATCAGAAACATCGGTACATGTGTAGCTGCAGCATTCTTGTTGTGTACTACATGCAAAATATTATCCGATATGGACGTAAGTTGTAMACAATGCATACTACTATATTTAAATATTTATTTTTCTTTAAAAAGTTCTTCATCTCTTCATCTCTAAGATGAAATTTCTCACGATGTATTCTAAACTATATTATGATAAAATTTAACAATTGCAGTGTATATTATATTTTAAATATTCATTTCAAAATTATATCATTTTATTAATTTGCATACAATATCCTGTTACCAAATTATAGCCAGTAAATTAGTTTTATTATTTGTGTTTAACGCATTAAAATCATTTAT